TCACGTCAGTCGTATAGACTGTAAGTGAGCTCCAGTCACAATTCGTCACAACAGACTCGGAGCAGATACCCAAAGTGTACCCTCTAGGGAACGATGAGGGCTCAAAGACCGCCCTTACGCCCCAGATTGTCTGAAGACTGCCGAGAGTGACCTGTAGATAATGCACACCATCAGCATCCAGTGTCGTCGCCGTTGTGGCCGCCACACCATCAAGGGCGTATTCAGCGCCGATGAGGGAACTGTCGTAGGATGCTAGGAAGGCAGCATCAGCCAGTTTCACTTCGAGCTCCGCAATCCTGACCAAGCCGTCTGGTGGTCCAGCTTGAAAGGTTACTCTAACGCATTGTATACACCCTAGAGAGACCGATAAGTAGACCCCGGCCGCTGAGGGAAAAGTCGGTGCCTAAGCACCAAATCCCAGCAACACCATAGCCGTAACCAGTAGGGATGACCCTACCTGGTTGGTATTGCCAGGTCCATAGGTCTGCCCAGGGTCCGAGTAGTCTGTGCAATCAGGACTGCCTTGTATAGTGAACTCTGTAGAGGTGTAGGCCTGTGCCCCGAACCATAGCGTAACCTGGGATATGTACACACAAGAGCCAAGGTCTAGAGTATAGGTCGGGTTGGAGGATGCCGACACCGTAGTGTACCAGTACCTGAACACCGGGGGTTTCCGAGAGTACTTGCTAGTCATACGTGTCGAAGTGACCATCGATGGCGAGGGCCGGGTCGGCTGACGGCGTGGATATTTGGGAGATCAAGGGAGTGCTCTTCAAGGCAATGTTCTCGAACGCCGAATAGACCTCCACAGCGGACAGGCCCATGATCTAACCAGAACTCAACTATCGATACCAGTCGTATAGGCGCCTCTACGGGAGGAACGGGAGTGGCCTTCAGCAGATTGCCTATGATACATTCCTCAGGGCGAGAGTCTATCACGACTATTAGTGCTAGAGATGGCTTACCCAGTCATCTCCAGCCTGGTCCATCATACTATCCCTCATCAATGTTACTCTCAGCGACCGACGATGGTAGGTGCCGAAGCTTGTGATGGGGATCACGTAGTAGTAGTTGAAGGAGTCTATCTTCACTATACGGCCCGAGAAGCAGGCATAATCAGCGAGCGTCTCAGTACTGGTAACCCCTAGATCCCCCAGAGCTGAGGCCCACTCACAAGTCTCTGACCAAGAACTCGTCGTAGACCATCTCAACTGTATTCGAAACGCAGCCGATCGATAGCTGAACTTCAAGTGAACAACGTCCACCGTTAGTGTAGCCCCCCAAGTCGATGTCGAATGCGAAATCGGTGATGCTCGATACAGCACCAGTAGCGGACACGCCTGT